TTTTTGGCGGTACCGGGGATTGAATTCAGGACCCTGCACTTGCCAGGCAAGCGCTTATTCTACTGAGCTATCTTCCCAGGCCCTATATTAATTTCTTGTTTAATTTCATCTGTAATCCATTGGTTGCTGAGGAGGATATTATTTAATTTCCATATGTATATGAGGGTTTTGTGGTTTCTTTGTAAAAAATTTCGAGTTTCATTGCACTGTGGTCAGATAATATGCATGGGACAATTTCTGTCTTCTTGCATATACTTAAGCATGATATGGACTAGTACGTCATCTATTTTAGAAAACGTCCCATGTAGAGCTGAAAAGAATGTGTATTCAGGTGTTGGGTGGAACACTCTGTATATGTCTAAGTCCATTTGTTCAAAGGTCTGGTTCGATTCTGCTAACTCTTTGCTAATTTTTTTTTGCTTGATCTATTTCTTTGGGATAAAGGGATGTTAAGATCCCCTGTTAAGATTGTGGTATTGAATGTTAGATTTTTCATGTCCATTAAACTTTGCATTATTTAGTTGGGTGCTCCTGTATTTGATGCATACATATTTATGACTGTTATCTCTTTCTCTTGAATTTTTCCCCTAACCAATATGGCCTTCTTTATTTCATTTGTTCATTCTTGGTTTGAAGGTCAAGTTGTTTGCAAACAGGATTGCTAGCTCTGCTTTTTCTGATGTCTTGAGCATGTAGTATCGTTTTCCATCCTTTGACTTTTAGCCCATGAATTTCTTTTCTTTTCTTAAGTATTTTATTTTTTTGCAACTAAGCTTGTTAACACTATATAATGAAAATGTACAAAGGATAATATTGCAGTTCTTTGGTTATATTTAAGTCAAAGACATTCATTAATAAGGAATCTTTGAATGTGAACATTCCAGAAATTTCTCTAAACCATCTGATATTGCCTTACTTTGAAATGTACTGGCATACACTTGAATTTAACTCAGAATTTTTCAAAATAAGCCATAATTTAAAAAATAACTATTCTATATTCAAACTGAAACGATTTTAATAGAACTTTCCTTTCCAGAAACAATAGTAAAGGAAACAAGGCATTCTGTAAAATATGGTCCTGAACAAGTCACAATAAAAAAATAAATGTATACCTAAGTTCCAGCGCCTCAAAACAGAGGCTACTTTCTGTTCCACAGCCTTCAAAACAAGGTGCGGAACAGCCTATAAGCAACTTGGGGCAATGGGTTGCCAAAACAATGCTCAAGCAGTTGAACATGGACACCTCAGAAAAGTCTGGGGGAGTGGAGATGGCTCAGTGGAATAAGCGCTTCCCTGGCAAGCGCAGGGGCCTGAGTTCAATTCCCGGTTCTGCCAAAAAAGAAAAAAAGAAAGAAAAGTCTGGGGGAACCTGACCAAAGGATCTGAATTCTATTTTCATAAATGATACAAAGGTGAAGTGGCTCCTCCCAAGTAGCACTGCTGCCAGGGCCTGGCCCAGTCCTGTGCTCACCTATGTTACAATCCCACTGTAGGGGAGATCTTTTTCCTTTAGAGGCTTAGTGTCCAGGGAGCTCTCTGATTGTGTGAATAAGGTGAGTGCCGACTCCATGGGGTATTTTAAGGCTTAGCGTCAAAGTATTTTTCTAACAGGCTAGGCAGAATTCATGTGTCAAGGCCTATGTCCAATTTCTTCTAATTTCTCACCACACATTTGTAGATCTAGGACCGCAGATCTTTGCTACTTCCTCATAATCACACCTAATGTCCATCCTAACTTACAATTCGTATTCTGTGCCTGGAAACAGTCCCTGTATTTAACAATAATACCTACACATAAGACAATCCACTCTTAAAACTTATATGGTCACAAAACATTAATGATCTTCTGTAGACCAAGGAAATGTTTTTAACCATAATTGATTGTGCATCAATTCACAGCCAGAATCCCCAAGATCAAAAAAATTTGCACAATACAAATAATAACTTAAAATATACATACACACATATACACACACTCACACACACACTTCTTTTTTTTAATTTTATTGATAAACAGATAGCATTGAGACAGTTTCAAATCAAATCAGTAGTACAGTTTCAATAACTAACACACTGCATATATTCTTCTTAGTGGTTAATTGCTGTACACACACACACTTCTTACAGAACTGTGCTTGGGGAAACTCCATTTGTTGAGTGCCACTGAAGGCATATTTCGCTAAACTGCTGCTCCAGGTATTTTTGTTTGGAAAATCTATCACAGTAGGGCAGAGCTGTTTATTGGATGAGCAGAAAAGAAAGATATGCTTGTGGCAACCAGCAAGTTTTAAGGTCTTTCAAGTTGTAGAAAATGGACCTGCAGAAACATTTAAGTGTTCTCAGGATGCAAAGTTTGGAGCTGAAATGTGAAATCAAACCAGTTGCAAAAAGTGTACAGCAGCCATCTCTTGAGGTCAAACCCGGTACCCAGATATGCAAGAAAGTTTCAGGACACATAGCGTAGCTTGTTGGCCTTGTCCCATATCGCCCCATAATTTGATCATGTGTGAATTTCACAAAAGATTCATACTGCTCTGCTAATTTGGTATTAAGGATTTGCTCATACTCCTCTCGAATTTTATCTTCATAGTCTTTTAGGAGCCTCTCACATATTATTCCAATTTGTCGAAGGGTAAAGCTGGGCTGGTCCTTCTTCATCCAGGAGGAACCTGGACAACTAGGTGCTGTGAGTGCTGAGGAGCGAGGCTGGCTTTCTGAAGTGCAAGCTTCACTCTGATTGAGAACAACTTCTAAATGTCTCCATCTCTGACGACTGTATTCTTGCTTTATGTTCTGAAAAATTTTCTCCAGGAGTTGGAAGGTTCCACTCGCTGCCAGGAGGGGCGGGCTGCTGTAGAGTCGGCAGCGGGGTCTGCGTCTGAAGAGGCGGTGGCTCAGTGTCCAGGAGCCTGAGGCCCGGAGTGGGGCCCGGCAAAGGGGCGCAGCGCTGTTGCTTTGGGGAACCAGGGCTCAGCAGCGCCGCTTCAAATTCCATGGGCCGCTTCAGTTTGCCCCGCACGCCATATCGCTGAGGAACCAGAGACCAGGAGCCCATGCGGAGACAACTGTGGCCCAAGCTCACCAGCCAAGCCGGGTCCAATGGCGCCTCCAGCACCTGGCAGGGACCCTATGAATTTCTTTATGAGTTAAATGAGTTTCTTGTATACAGCCTATGAATTTCTTTATAAGTTAAAAGTTTCTTGTATAGAGAATATTGTTTGATTCTCTTTCTTAATCCACTCTGCCAATATACTTAAGTGGATAGAGTAGGGGAGGTCTTCTTTGGTGGGAATATACAGGGGTGTTGAAAGTCTGGCCTGAGAACATGAAAAGAACCAGCATGGCTCCACCCTCTGCAGTCTCAAAATTGCAAAAGGACAAGACTTTGCTTTGAGAAGAGAGCCCCAGAGCACCAGGTTGCAGAATGCCAGCAGCCCAGAAAATTTGTTCCTTGGAATTGTGTTCAAAGTGCTCACCAAATTGTTCAACTCCTATAGACAAAAGAGAAGGATGCCTGGCTAGTGGTCCAGCTGGCAGCAGACTCTGGCATCATCAATTTGGCCTTTGTTTTGAGTGAATGCCAAATGGAAGTGTTGTGGTATCATGAAGGCTTCCACTCAGATTTCAGAAGAAGGTCTAGGAAGCTAAGCAGTGTGTCCTGGGAAAGGTAGTGTGTTAAGGTATGAGTGTGTAGCATAAGGTGTAATGGAGACCACAGAAGTTTGAGAAGTAAGGAACATGTATTGTCTCAGGAAAGCTGCACTGAGAAAGCAAAGCAGATCCAAGAGAGGCCAATGGGAACTATAACCACCAAATATGTCATAGGGCCAGGGCCACAATAAAAACTTTGGTATTTATATCTTGCCTCACATTGCCAGT